GAAATAAAAAAATAAATTAAAGACTTCATAGAATTTAATGAGAATATGGACACAACATGCCCAAACTTATGGGACACTCTGAAAGCAGTGCTAAGAGGAAATTTCATAGCACTAAGTGCCCACATGAAGAAACTGGAGAAAAGTCACACTAGAGAACTGACAGAACAACTGAAAGCTTTAGAGCAAAAAGAAGCAAACTCACCCCAGAGTAGACACCAGGAAATAATCAAACTGAGAGCTGAAATCAATACTGTAGAAACTAGGAAAACATTACAAAGAATCAATGAAACAAAGAGTTCATTCTTTGAGAAGATCAACAGCATAGAGAAACCTCTATCCAAACTAACCAAAAGGCAGAGAGAGAGCATGCTACAAAATCAGAAATGATAAGGGGGATATAACAACGGACACTGAGGAAATCCAGAGAACTATCAGGTCATATTTTGAAAACCTGTACTCCACAAAATTCGAAAATCTAAAGGAAATGGACAATATTCTGGATAGGTATCACTTACCAAAATTAAATCAAGAAGAGATAAGCAGTTTAAACCAACCTATAACCCCTAATGTAATCGAAGCAGTCATCAAAAGCCTCCCAACCAAAAAATAGCCCAGGGCCAAATGGCTTCACTGCAGAATTCTATCAGAAATTCAAACAAGAGTTCATACCAGTACTCCTCAAATTTTTCCACACAATAGAAGCAGAAGGGACATTGCCGAGCTCTTTTTACAAGGCTACAATCACTTTGATACCGAAGTCAGACAAAGTTACAACTAAAAATGAGAACTACAGACGAATATCCCTCATGCAATGCAAATATAATCAACAAAATTTTGGTGAATCGAATCCAAGAACACATCAGAAAAATCATCCATCATGATCAAGTAGGCTTCATCTCAGGGATGCATGGATGGTTCTATATACGTCCACCATATAAACAAACTGAAAAAGAAAAACCACATGATGTCTGGAATGTCAGTACAGGACTGATCCAGACCCCTGAACATGGATGTCAATGTGGAGGCCTCTGCACTCTGTGGGCCCCTGGTAGTGGATTAGTACTTTTCCCTGGTGTAAGAAGGAACTTTAAGAGTCCATCCCATATGAAGGGATGCACTCTTGGCCTGGACATATGTGCGAGGGCCTAGGCCCAGTCCAGGATGATGTGGTGGACTTTGGGGAGCCCCTGTCGAGGGCCCTACCCTGCCTGTCAAGTGTAGGGTGTATGGTGTCCGGGGCAGGTTATGGGTTGGAGAAAGCTGGGGAGAGGGGAGGGAGAAGGGATTGACATGTGAAGTAAGCTTGTTCCTAATTTGAACTAATAAAAAATACAAAAAATATCTTTATTTGCAGATAATGTGATTTTTATACATGTGACCCTGAATAATCCACCAAGAAACTTTTACAGCTGATAAACATTTAAAAAAATATTAGTCGGTTACAAAATTAACCCAAATAAATCAGTAGCCTTCTTATATACAAATGACAGACAAAGAAACATATTTGGGAAACAATACCTTTCACAATAGCCTCAAAAATATCTTGGGATAACTCTAAACAATTCAGAATAAGGCTTGTACAATAAAAGCTTTAAATATTGAAGAATTAAAATTGAAACTGAAGAAGACACCAGAAGATTGAAATATATCCCATGTGTAAGGGTTAGCTCAAGATTAATATTGTGAAAATGGTCATCTCACTAAAAGCAATGTACAAATTCTGTGCAATACCACCAAATTCCAACACAATTGTTCATAGAAATTGTGAAGAATTCATAGAAAAATAATCTCATCTTCATATAGAAACAAAAACATAGTACAGCTAAAAAATATCATGAATAGTTGCATGATCATGTGAGGTATCACCATCACTGCTCTCAAATTGTTCTACAGGGTTAACTATTAAAGAAAAAAAAAAACAAAAAACAAAACAAAACAAAAGCAGCATGCTGATAATAAAAAACTGGACATACTTATCAATGGAATCAAATTCTAGACACTGAGATAAGTCCACACATCCCTTAATAACCTGATTTTTGACAAGTAATCCAAAAATACATACTGGAAAAAATACAGCCTCTTCGACAAATGGTGCCAACCAAACTGAATAGCTTCATGTAATAGAATGCAAATATATCCATATTTATCACTTTCCACACTACTCAATTGCAAACCTTAACATAAGGCTAAAAATCCTGAATCTGATGAGAGAATAATTAGGGAATAGTTTGGCAATTACTGTCCCAGCAAAGAACTTTCTGAACAGGATACAGCACAGGTACTAAAATGAACAACTTATATATAGGACCTCTTGAGGACAACATACTTTTGTGTGGCAAAGGTCACCTCATTTTGTCAAAGTGGCAGCCTACAGAATGGAAAAAAGATCTTTACTAATTATGTAACTGAAAAAGGGTTAGTATCTGGATCATACATAGCACTAAAAAATCTGAACATCAAGAAAACAAGTTACCCAATTTTTTAAAGAAATGTTACACAGAACTAAACAGAGAATTTTCAAAATATTAAACACAAATGGCCGAGAAACACTTAAAGAAATAAATCTCTGTCAGACTGACCATTGTGATCAATACAACAAATAGTAACTCATGATGTTGAGGATGTTTGGTAAGGGATTCATTCGTTGTTAGTGGAAATGCAAATTTATACAGCCACAGTGGAAATCAGTATGATGGTTCCTTTGGGAATCTGGGAATAGATGTACCTCAAGTTCCAGCTACAGCTTTCTTGGGCATATACCTGAAGGACTGATTGTATACCAACCACAGAGACGCTTGCTCGTTCATGTTCACTGATGCTCTGTTAAGAGAAGTCAGAATTTGGAAACAGTCTAGATTTTCCATACACTGACAGATATATATTCAGATATTAAGACAATTAAAATTTTGGGAAGAGAAAAAATCATCCTGAGTGAAGTAATCCAGACCAAGATCAGAAGAGGGTATGAGAAAATGATTGGTGTTTCGTCTCAGGCAAAAATCAGAGAACTGCTGTTTTTTCCTATTAGTGTATTTAAACTTTTAAGCTTTTAGTATTTTGCTACAATACACATAATCACAGAGTTATGTATAGACTAAGTGACTAGGAGTTAGGAAGGGATCTCTCAAGGAAGAAGAAATAAAACAGGGTATTATAAACAGGCAAGGTAAACTAGAAAAGGGGGATTAAATAGGGATGGGTGTAAAGAAGAGTAAAAGAAGGAATATAGGAAGTGACAACTAAGAATAAAGATCATTTCATAATCATATGAAAACCTAACCATTAGAGAAACTTCCTAAAATACATAGGAAAGGAATATGAATCAAATCACCAAGTAATGGGGGGGGAGAATGCCCCAATTAGACTTTGTATGTGTGGTAGTTTGAAAAAATGACCTTCAACGGGAGTGGTTACATATGGAGGTAGGGACTTGTTGGAGAAGATGTGTCACTGTGAGGACTTTGAGGTCTCTTGCTCAAGCATCCCTCAGTGTGACTGTCAGATGACTTCTGCTGCCTTCTTGTCAAGATTTTGTACTCTCAGCTCCAGCACCACATTTGCCTGTATGTTGCCATGAACGCCATCAAAATGATAATGGACTGAACATCCAAAACTCTTTAAGTGAGCCACCCCTAGTAAATGTTTTCTTTATAAGTGTTGCCATGGTCATGGTGTCTCTTCACAGCAATAAATACCCTAACTATGACAGTATGCTACCAAGAAAAACCTCCTGTGCCAGAACAGGAGTAGCCCCTCGATCTCAGCAGACTCAGGGTTGCTTAGTCCTCAGGGGCCAAGTCAATCAGCCTGCAGACCCCAGGACAGGAGTTCCTAGAGTGGGCAGCCAGAGGCTGGACCCAAGGCAGGTAGTTAGGAGATTATTACAAATAAAGTTAACATATATACATGCTCAGGTTCTGTGGAAATATGTTTCCATTATTCTTAGGTAAATGTTCAAGAGTTCAATTTCTAGACTATGCATCATGACTCTATCCTCAGATTTTAACAAACTGCCAAAATATTGTAAATGCCTTAGCTATTTTATATTTTCACCAAAGTGTATTCATGTTCTATTATTCTCTACATATTGTCCAATATTTGGTATTAGCAATAGTTGATTTTTTTTATTTCATCAGTTGAAATGCCTATTTCACTCATTTTTTATTTTTTGTTGTTATCATTGTGCAGAACATAATATAATTACAACCTATCTTTCTTTCATTTTTCCTTTCCAAGTTCCTATATGCACTTTCCAGTCTCTATCAAAACCATGGCCTCTTTTTGCACTAATTGTTACTGTATGTTCTTATGTGTATGTTTGTGTGCACGCACACACACGCACACATTCACACACACACACACACACAAATAAATCTGTGTATATGTATACATGCAAACACAATACCTGTTCAGTCCTTATTGTTTTGCTTGTGTATATGTTTTCAAGGCTGACCCACTGGCACTGGTCAACTAATTGGTTTTTTTTCACTAGGTATGAACATTTCTCCTTTTCTCAACTTTCTTAGTTTCCTAAACTTCTTTGTGTAGGGTCCAGGCTAAACAGCTAGTTAGTTAGTCCAGCTGAGGTAGGTGTGTGTGTGTGTGTGTGTGTGTGTGTGTGTGTGTGTGTGTGTGCCTGTGTTTCATTTAAGGTAGTTTAATTCCTTATGACTGTTCCAAAGTTGTTAGTGTTATTTTTGCCTTCCTCTCTTCTCTGTTAATAATCCCCTCCCCCTCCTAGTTAGAGCTCACTTTTTCCCATTTTGATGGAAAACAATTTGTTCACTTGTATCCTGTTTTTTCCTTCTCTGTTGCTTTCCCATACCTCTCCTCCTTGATAATTGTCCCTTTTTACTTTCCTGGAATTACTCATGGATATATGCTCCCATCTGAAGATTTGGAGCTAACAGCCTCCAATGAGAGAACATGTAATATTTTACTTTCTCAGTCTGTATTATCTCATTCAATAAGATTTTTGGAGTTTTATCCATATACTTGCAAAAAATTTGGAACAGTTCATGAATTTGTGTCTCATCCTTTCTTAAGGCCATGCTGATTTTCTCTGTATTGCTCTAATTCTAGTATATGTGCTGCCAAAGTGAGCACCATGTAATTCTTTTCATCTACTTAAAATTTAGTTTGCTAATGTTTTGCTAAATATTTTACATGTGTATTCATAAGTTCATTTATAACTGTGATGCTATATTTGCTTGGGTTAAGTGATCCTCAGTGAGATAAACATTTAATGTGTATCTGTGAGAATATTTCCAGAAGACCTTAGCCTTTGGATTATTGAACTAAGAAAAGTAAATAGTCATCTCCAGTGTTTGTGAACACCATCTAATATGTTGTAGGTTTAAACAGGAAAAAAAGCAAAACAAATAATTGACTCTCTTTTGTGGTTGGGTATCTTTTCTTTCCTATTCTCAGTCAGTGATACTTAGGTTTCTGATTTTCAAAGTTAGTTTGATTTATACTACTGATTTTCCTAGCCATTTAGTTTGCAGATAACATATCATAAAGTGATCCCACAGTGATTTAATTTCTATCACATATGTGAGTTCTGTCTGTCGGTCTGTGACTGTCTGTATGTCTAACTGTCTCTGTCTCTGTCTTTATCTCCCCCATCTGCTTCTCTGGAGAACTAGAAAAGAAACTCTTACCATTGTATTCTTGTTCTCAGGTGCTTTTTCCTCTGTTTCCCAATCCTTCATATATATATATTTGGTTTTTGAGACAGTGTTTCTCTTCTTGTATTTTTTATTTACACAAATCAGACAATCAGTGTAATACTGACTTAATGAAAAGGACTGGGAAGGATTCTGTCTTGTTTTCCAAGGCTGTGCAGACTTGGTGATATTTTGCTATTTTCCCTACATCCCTTTCAACAGAGCTTTGATCATTCATTTACCTCTTTTTTATTTGCATACATTTACTACAATAAATTTTCCGAACAGTCAAGTTTTAGCTGTATTACACAAATATTGGTTTATTGTATTCCATTTTCACTTAGTTTGATAGTGTTATATTGCCCTTGACATTTCCTCTTTGAACCATGAACTATTCAAAATGTGTTGTTGTTTTCCAAATGTTTGAAGATTTCCCTGTTATATTTCTGCAAATGTTTTCCAAGTTTATTGCATTTGCTGTTATTAATTATGTTTTATTTGATTTCAAGTCTTCTCAGTTTCTTGAAGCATTTCCTTTTACCAAGCTTGTTCTTTTATCATATGGCCAGTCTTGGTATTTCTCATGTAGAACCTGGAAGCTAATGTGTATTCAATGTTATTAAATAGTGAAGTCCAGGAATATTGTACAGGAAATTTTAATGGTATTAAATTCATGCTTGCTGATTCTTTTCTATTTATGAATTACTTTTAGAAAGCAGTGTTAAGTTGTCCCAATAGATTCATATATTTTTCTATTTCTCTTTTCTGTTTGACTAGTTTTAATTTTACAAAATTTACTGTTGTACTATTTGGTTCATCCACATCAAGGATAACTAGTTCTGATTATAATAACAAATCAGTTTGTCAACATGCTACTTCTCAGTCTAGGATCTTCATTACTCCAAAGACATTTTTTATCACATATTGATATAGTCATAGCTTCCATTTATTGGATTAATGTTCAATTGATTTACCTTGTTCCAATTTTGATTCATCTTATATGAAATCATATAAATTTGTATTGGATCTTGCTTTAGTTTTCAACACAACTGCCAATCTATTTTCTAATTGGTATATCTTATTATTTGTGTTCAATGTGGTTGCGAACAGCTAAGAATTTAAACTTAATTTTGTGTTTCATTGGCAGTATCCCCATTTATTCCATGTGTTTCTATTTTAAGGTTCTCTGTCATCGATGTATTATTTCAATGACATTTTGAAATCTGTGATTTTAAGTTTATCACTTTGTATATCCTCTTAGTGGCTCTAGATATTACAAACTGAAAAATCATCACAATCTATTAAGTCATTCTTTCTACCTTCTTAGTATAGAATTATTTCCTTTCATTGTAAATTCCTTTCATGTATTCTTCATTTAAGTATAGAGCTACAGCAGAGAGTATTGTCATTGCTTCAAATGTCAAATATAAGAAATTCAGAGGACAAAGAAACTATCGTTTTAATTGACAATTTTTATTTTTCCCATTGATTTTTCTTTATTTCTGATTTTCAAGTCTCATTTTGAAATATTATATCATTTATATTTAAATAGCTTTCTTAACCTTTTGAGCTGGGTCTTCTAACAACACATTTTCTTAGTTGCTCTCATTTGAGAATGTCTATACTCACGTATATTTTTTCCCTGTGGAATTCCAAGGTGACAATTTTATATGGAATATGATGCTGCTTTTTTACTATGACATATTATTTTTTACTCAAATTTGTGCTATTTTATCTTAGAAGATGCTATTTTCTTCTTATTTTTAAGACTTCTTTGTTCATGTTCAGAATTGACTTCTTTTAGATTTATAGTTGATAGGTGCCTCTTTGATTCTGTAACTGTCAGTTTATATGTCTTACCAAATTGGGGGTGTTTTCTGTCTTTATTTCTTTAACTATTTCTTCAATTACTTCTTCTTTTCTTCTTCTGAATTTATTATGACAAGACTATTCTATTATTTTATAATTATTATGTATTACATATTATACTTATTATATATTTTATTACAGTAGTAGTTAATTATTTGTTTAGAGACAGGGTTCTGAAACTGTGTCAGGTTGCCCTCTAATTCATTGAATTCCTGCCTCAGGCTTATGAGTACTGATATACACCAACATGCATGAAAGCTGTTTGTTTAAAGTGTGTTTTTTCACTGTTGTACATGTGGAATCATTTCTATTCTTCTTCCTTCAAGCTCATTAATATCTTTCCCATTAGTCTATTTCATACAAAGGCTTAACTGCTAAATATTTTATTTTAGGTAAAATAACATTCAGTTTGATTTTCCTTTATGCATGCTTCATTCAAAATGTCCATGTCTGGTAGTGAGTTTCTATCTTTTATTAGTTGCAAGCATGATCACTCTTACTTGTTACAGCATTTTTGTTATGAGGTCTTTAAAGTATTTTTTAGGTAATTCTAATTTATTATTTCCCATACTTGAGTCTACTAATGTTGCTTGCATCGATTTACTTTGAGCTATTGCATGTTCCTGAAAATACAAGTAGATTTTACTGAAACTCTGACTACATTATGACATGAGACTCTAAATCTTAAATTTCTATTTTAGCTGTCTTCCATGGGCTCTACTCTGGTTTCTAAAGAAAGTTATGGCTCTTCATTTTTGCTAGGTGAATGCAACCATAAAGGTTCCCCATTCAGCTTCTATTGATATCCAGGTGTGGGATCTCCTTAATGCTGTTGAATGGGAGTTAGAGATTTTGGTCATCACTTGTCTTCCACCAGTAACTTTCTAGAGAGAAGACTGGTAAAACTTGATATTCTTCCAGTTATATCAAGGTACATGGTGTTATTGTTTCTGAGATATGTAGGAATTCCTATGTAATCCTTAGTCCTCCTGTGGCACTATCTCAACATGATAAGAAGAAACTGAAGATAAAATGTAAGGCTCTTCAGTATATCTCACAGAAATAGAAAGTTTCAGCACTTAGAGGAATGAAAGTGCAGCTCCTGATGATACCATCTTCTACAATGTATTATCTGGCAAGACTTGATCCCATCAAAGTGGTCAAGTAGTACGTTGAACTGATTGGCATATGTGATATCTGCTTAAATTCTTCATTAATTTCATTTCCTATAACGGTGATAAAAACAACCGACAAATCTACTTAAGGGAGAGAAGCTTTATTTGTTTTGTAATTTCAAGTTACACTTCATGATGGCATGGGAATCATAGCAGCAGGAGTGAGAAAGAACTGTACACAGTGCATCCACACTCAAGAGTAAAAAACAGTGAGTTAATAATGAATTAATGCATGTATGCTTGTGTTTGGCTTGCTTTCTCCATTTTTACATAGTTCAGAATCTACTGCCTAGGGAATGAAGCCACCTAGGGTGGAGGGATTTGTCCCAGTGTAATTAACACAGTCAAGACAAACCCCCATAGATATACCCAAACACCAACCTAATCTAGACAACCCCTCATTAAAACATATTTCCCAGGTAATAATAGATTGTCAAATTGACACACACAAAAAAATGAAAAACAAAAACCATCGTAGTCTGTACTAGTCAGAGTAATGGTGGGGGTGTGCAGCATTTTATATTTTATTTAGGCAAATAGGATAGATAATGCTTCAATGCTGACTGTTTTATTAATATATCTCATGGAAGTCCTTTGGCTGTAGAAAAATTATTGTCATTTTCTTGTTTTATCTGTACACTTAGTATTTTTGAGTTGCTGCCTTCAACAACTCCATTCTAGGATTCATGATGCCAAAAGACAAGCCAGGAAATACAATTCCACAGTACCTCTTGACTCATGAAGATTTTAATCTGTATCTCCTTAGCTTTTCCACTGTTATTAGCAAGAGAAATAGAGAAATACATTTAATCTATTTTAATGTGGAATTCTTCTACTTTATATTTCATTTCATTATTTTCCTAATCATATTTGTCTACAGAAAAGCTGGGGAGTTTATTTTTCCTTTTAAACTCTATCCTACATAGATCTTGGTTTGTATTGTGACTATGGTCATTTAGTTTCTTCACCTTTAAAATGAGAATAAATGTAACCTTGCCAGGGTACTAGTGAGAACTAAGTATAACATGTTGCAGAATGTTTCACATATAGTGTCTCAAAATGGACACAATTTATATTAATAGATGCATTAGTTTTTTTTTCTTCATTTAAAAATAAAACACAAAGCTACTATGTAAGCCACAAAAGCATCTTTGGTTGAGAGTAGAAATTTATGGAAGACGTGTCAGTAAACTGGAGCTGGAATTGGATAAAGGGATTATGATCAGAATTTTAGCACCAATCTCTATTAAAATTATTCATTTCAGCATCTACCAAAGTTCTGCTGAGAAGCAGAGTGAAGTAAGTCAGCTCACACATTTAGTCTTGTGAGAACTGGGTTTCTGACTTTCTGTTCCAGTCACTTACTTTGTAACTGTTAGCTTTCCTAAATGAC